ATGTAGGCTAGGTCATGTCATTCCTCTCCTCAAAAATTCCAACAGCTTCCCAGCTCACTCAGAATAAAAACTACAGTTCTTCCAGTGGCTTCCAAACTCTACATTATATGACTTTACATACAATAGTCTCTTTGACATTTCTGGAACATGCCAAAGCATGCTCCCATCTCCAGTATTTGCTATTACACATTCCTGCACTTTTTTACACTTCTTCCCAATGTCATTAAAATCAGGGAGGCCTCCGCTGACCATCTGACATAAAATAGCAACATCCCTTCCACAGCATGTATCACATTTTAGGTATCCTTTTTAAAAATATTGTCTGATTTCCCTTACTAGAATGTAAGCTCCATATGAACAACTCTTATTTGGATGAGGGAAATTTATTTTGTTATTCTTTATAGGATACCCATGTGATATGTAAAAGCAGGCCATATACAATATTAAGTAGTATTTCTGGAACTGATTCAATTTAAGAGTTTGCCTAAGAAAATTAACTCTTATTGGTTAAAAAATTAATTTATCATGTAATGGCAAATTTAAATATATTTCATATGGCATTTGAATTACTAGTAGTATCATCCCCAATAAATCAGCAGATAAGTTCAAAATTTAACTACCAAAATGAAAGAATTTATATTTCTTAGATTATACTCAAAATATTGCTACATTTAGTAGGTAAAAGTATAAAATGATCAAAAATAATTATGACAACAGTAATAATAAACTGTAATAATAAATAAAATTGACAATAATTTTAAATTTATTTATAGTTAATTTAGAATCCACTTCAATATATATAACTATATCCCATATGCCTATGAGCCACAGGAAAAAAAAACTATAAGTGGATTATAATCATGAATTATGTTTTTCAGGTTTGTCATGCTTAGATTTTCTTGCCCAAAACCATCCATAGTATTTTTCCAGAATATGTCTCTTATTCTCCAAATTTTGGCTCACATACAGGTCAGGACCAAGGAGGAAGAGAAGTGTCTGCCAAGTCATTTCCAGGCTAAACAAAACTAGAAAAGTATGCAGGCCAGGTAGGTAGTTTACAATGAGTCTTTAAAATTAAGACACATCTACCATGTCCCAAATTGTATGTACATAAAACAGTGCGGCAATTATTTTCTCCCTAAAAATGCTTGTTATTTCCTCTCATATTATAGTTAGACTTCCTTATCTAGTCTTCCCTTCCAGTCCTTTACCTACAGCAGAATCCCAGTAAAGCACATAACTCCATTAGGAAGAATAAACAGGGTAAAGTTAATAACACCAAAAGGATCATAGAGGACTTTTCCCCTGGGAGGACAGGGAAAGGTTGCTTTTCCACATTATAATCAGGTACACATACCTCAATATATCAGTTCACAGGCACAAAAGCAACTTCGTTTTTTTTTTTTTTGTTTTTTTTTTTTTTTTCCCTAGTTCTGGAAGTATACAACTAGAGTAGGAAAAAGAAAACTGGCTATTCATCCACTGGCCAGTTGAATCAAATCACAATTAAGATAGTGACCTATATTATGATATAAACATCAGATCTTAATCTTAGATATTACGTTTCTGCATTTGTATAAATGATAAATGTCACTCAGATTATTTCTTTCAGCACTGTAATTCTGATGAAGAAATGTATCCTTCCTGGCCTCCCATTTTTCTCCAGGACAGTACTATTTTTCAACAAACTATAGTTGAGCATTTCTTATGCTTATGAAGACAGAGTTTTCAAAAATGTCTGATAATTTAAATGACAGGTTTTTAATATGTTATCTATTCAAATTATTTAAATAAATAAATTATGCTATAAATAAAAGTATTTATAGCATAATCTTAATTAAAGAAAACATGAATCTATGGTATAAGAGCAACTCACTCAATAAACAAAGTGAGCATCTGATTCATAAGTTACTATTTTTAACACATTTGAATTAATCAATTACTATGTTTAAGAAGTAATAATAGCCATAATAAGCTATCCAAACATGAAAAATGAGTCTAATGAAAAATTAGTTAATTTTTTTCTCTTAGCTGAATCCCTGACTTCTGGTTTAAAAAAATATATATATATACAGATATAGATATAGATAGATAGATATAGATATAGATATATATAGATATAGATATTTCAGAGAAAGAAACTTGCACACAATTAAATAATAAATTTCAACTATTTCCACAGCTTTTATCTCCCAAATTCATCTATCTTCAAGTGTTTCTTTTATCTTACTGATAAATCTTGCAAAAAGCCCCAATTTATCCATCTACATCTCCCTCTGAACTTCAAATATAATTAGAAAAACATAAAAAAGTTCAAACCAGTTACAAAAGTTGACAAATGATGCCAGTTGAGATCTTTTTGAAAAATTCCACTTCCTTTAAGTCAACAGGTCAAAATTACTCACAGCTGGAGGCAAGGGTCTTCAGAAAATGAAAAGTTATTTTGGCTGTTTCAACCAACAGATTTAAAATGTTCCTGATCCATAGGGATAAATGTGACCCTCAATGGCCAGATGATCAATCTGACCTGATTGATGATCAAGGCTTGATAACCTTGAAGCTTCAGGCTGCAGAGCTCAGTATGCAGCTTGCTAAAGCTCTTCTTCCCTTCTTACAGAGGACACTTGTGAATCAAAAGCAGCACCTCCTTCTGGATGAAGTTGAGGTAATCTTTGGGATAATCCTTGGCATCATCCTTTTTTGGGGGTGAGGGTGGGGGAACTGGGAATTTAACCGGATTGCCTAACTACCAAATCATATCCCTGGACCTGTTTATTTTTTTTATTTTGACACAGTGTCTCCATAAGTTGCTTAGGGCTTCCTTAAATTGCTGAGACTGATCTGGAACTCCCAATCCTCTTGCTTCTGCCTCTTGAGTCACTGGGATTACAGGCATGTGCTACTACACCCAGCGGCATCATCCATTTCTAATTGCACCAGGACACACATTCCCCAGGACACATGGAGAGCCTTATCCACCATCACATGTGTCTTGATGGTCTCCAAAATATATACGATGAACTGGTTCATGCCCTCTAGGACTAGGAATTTCAATATCTTAAACTCTTTCCTTCCACAGATGATTTGAGGACACTGAACACTTTGGCATATATTCCTACTAGCAGTTCAGTCATCCCCTGCTTGGCTGTATGTGAGCCAAGCACTACCTGGCCTCAACTTGCATTGAGTTCATATCATCAACTTTGTAAAAAATACAGTTTGGAGCCCTACTGCCCATCTGATTTTCCCCACAATGGAGACATGGGAAACCTTGAATCCCCTAATCTTGAACATATTGTCAACCAGTTAAAATAACAAGGTAAAATGTTCTGGGTTCAGATCCTGGATCTTAGGATCTAAGTAGCAGGTGCTAGGCCTCCCTCAGACTGTTGGCCATTACCTCCACTGGTCCCATCCAAAGCAGAGATACTGCCATAACCCCCAAACACACTCACTTTTATCTTAAAGATAGCTTCAGCAGGAGAGGAGGTACAGTTTGTCTCTTGTCAGGGCTGCTCCACAGGCTGCCTAGGAGATCTACCTGGGGCAACAATGGAATGTACAACACAGCCACACCACACTACTTTCAGAGCCAATCAACTACTGGAATGCAGCTGCCTCCAGCCAATCAGGGCCTGCCAGGCACCTGCTTGTTTTATTAACCCTTTGGGGATATGTGGCTCCTTATTGTTCTGCATTTTAAAAGATGCACACATAATTTCAAGCTTTCCCAATTCTTTTTATAAAAAATGAATTTCATTAATTTCCCCATTTATTTCTGAATGCCACAACTTCCATAGTCCCTTATTAAAATATTTATTTACTCAACCAATCTACTGTTCAATAGAAAATTTTGGAGCACCTAAGTGCTGAGTACTAACATAGGGTGCTGCAGGTATATTGGGTAGGAGTGGGGGTACATGGTGGTTACTGTTCTCAACTCACACCAGCTGCTCAAATCATTTACTAAAAGCATTATGAAAGAAAGAGCAAGATAGGCACCTATGAACAATTATCATACTCCAAAAAATGCATATTTTATCACAGTCTTTTAAAATTTTGTCATAAATTTTTTCCAATTATTTTGCAAAATGCACTAATATTTTAATTACTGATACATCTGAATTTATAAATATATCCAAACTGAATGACTGAGCTCTAAATTATTTTCAAGGCTCTGTGTACAGATCAAAAAGGTACAAGACTTGAGCCTATTGAATATTAAGAAAAACATGAATAAAATCATGTTTTTGTATACTCTTATCTAGTAAATTCTTAACTCAAGATTCCAGCAACTGTGTATGCAGATCTTAAATTTTTTTGCAATGTTACAATGCAATATATTTTTCTTTATATATATTTTAATTTGGATATTAATTTAAAGGCTTTATATGGCTAATAAAGGAATAATAGTTTCTACAATCCATCACTGGTAAGTACCCTGTTCCTTAAAAATAATTTTGAGCTATGTAAAAGCCTAAATGTGTAAAGTTTTAAATAGTTTGTTAATATTTTCTGTCTCATTTCTTCTATTGGTTAAAATAATTTCATTTCTATCTCAAAATTACAGAAATATGTGAATAGTATATGTAAAATTGTTAAAGGATATGAAATTATATATAACTCTCAGGTTTAAAGTGAATAAAATTCTAGAGCTAAATATACTTAATTTGTTTTATAAATAAATATGTAACAATCATTATCTGAATACACAAACAGCTTTCCACGTAAATGTGGATATTTAATTTCTATCTCTGTTTTATACAATAAAGAATAATTAAATATTCAAGTAATATATGAACCCTTAAAAATTACACATTATTAAAGACCAGATTAACTAGATATATTTTTAAATGTTTACAAATTAATGCTCAGACACTGCTATTGTATTAGTTAATATCAGAGCAAAATCCTGAGGTTAATATAACTGATTATATTCCCAAACAATAACATATAGCATGAATTGTATGAATCATACTAAAATCATAAGAACCACCTACCTGACAGGATTGCTGGTTAATGAAACCCTCAGGGATTCTAGGCAGTTAAGAAGTTTCTCATCTGAAATACCAGATCGTAATTCATGAACATATTCTTGTGAAGACAGGGTACATTCATGCTTGCTGTTTTTCAGACCACCCTATTAAAAAAGAGAAACAACTTTAAACAAACAAGTTATATTTTAAACACTTAAAAGTAAATACTGCATAAAATATATAAATCTATAAATACTTTACCATCTAAAATGTTTGCAGTACTAGGCACTTAAACATACTTGATCTGTGTAAGCAGATCTTAAAGTGTTTAAAGAACTGACAGGTAAAATTGTATCATATATATTGCAACACCCTCCTCATCATCATTTAAAAGAAAATTCCACTGCTGGTGCTCATGACATAAAGAGAATATGGACCTAAATTATATGAAGTTTTGCTGATGTCTAAACTTAAAATTCAGGCATTAGGATTAAGATTACCCAGTTCTTTTAACCCAAAGAATGAACACTAAAAAATCATCATATTAATTTCCCTAGTTAAGATATTCATATTCAATTTCACAAAATATATAAAACAAACTGAAAGATATATCAGAATATCATATCTCAAAAACCAAGTGAAAACACTTATTAAAATGGAAAACAATATAATCTCCAATTAGAATGTTAAATAATTAAATCAGTGTAAAGCATTCACTAATTCCAAGGTATTCCTTCCTAACTGTTACTCCCAGGTTGCAGATTAATTTAAAAAAGTCATTAAATACATTTATCTAATAGCTACTAGTTTTTAGCTTAATTTCTAATATACATAGGGTTACTTCCAGAACTCATTATCTCATCACAGTTCCTTAGCTTCATCACCTTGCTATAACTATATAAGTAGTTCAGGGAAAAGACTAGGAGAGAAACACCATCAACACATTCACTAGACTAATAACTCATAGCTTCACATTCTAGACATACCCAGTCATAACTGTTATTTTCCTACACTATAAATGTATTCTCCTGAATTAAGACTCTAGCTAGATTCCCTTTTCCCAAGTTCATACTAATTACCCTAAGTTTATACTGAGTATCGAAGCCAATTTCCCCCACTGGGTAGAAGTTATATCATTAGAGTACATAGATTTTTTAAAAAAACAATGTGTTAATAATGAGAAATTGGTTCCCTAGAGTTTCATATTATTTGACTTTTTAAGAAATACCTCCACAATATAGAAATTATAAATAATTTTTAATTTTTGAATTTTAATAAATTCCATTAAATAATAAATGTTAAAAGTCTGAAAAGGGCTTACACATATACAGAAACTCTATTTGCTTATAGTACTGTGGCTATATTCACTATTATAGTATCTAACATATTCCAGTAGAAGCTATCATGTGTGTCTATCTCTTCCACACTGGAAACACCATGTAAGCCAAGTGCCTAACAGAGTGCCTGAATTTAGTGAGCGTCAACCAAAATGTGCTATTCTTGGTTTTGCTAATAACAATTACAGAAGAAGAAATATAATTTCACACTCTAGCTCCCATACTTTGTGCAATAGTCACGGACTAGACTTTTTGTTTGAGAGAGAGAGAAAGAAAGAGAGAGAATTTTTAATATTTATTTTTTAGTTTTCGGCGGACACAACATCTTTTTTTTTTTTTTAAATGTGGTGCTGAGGATCGAACCCAGTGCCCCGTGCATGCCAGGCGAGTGCGCTACCACTTGAGCTACATCCCCAGCACCCCCCCTTTTTTTTGTTAACAGATACAGTAGATGTTTAATTCCTGCAATTTATCTACCCATCTCTTATTCAACAAGTAACAACAGCAAGTAGACATTTGTATCATAATTCTGAAATAATATTTTTGCTCAACCAACTCACTTTTCACAACAATGAATGGAAATATTCACTGCATGCCCCAGTCTGAAAACTACAAGAAGTTAAAATTTTGCCAGTCTACAGTCTCATACCAATTTCATACAATCCTCACACTTATTTTCTTAATCAATAGGTTTAAAAGATCCCTATTGTGGCATTTATACACAATGGAGTATTACTCTGCATTAAAAAATGACAAAATCATAGAATTTGCAGGGAAATGGATGGCATTAGAGCAGATTATGCCAAGTGAAGCTAGCCAATCCCTAAAAAACAAATGCCAAATGTCTTCTTTGATATAAGGAGAGTAACTAAGATCAGAGTAGGGATGAAGAGCAGGAGAAGAAGATTAACATTTAACAGGGATGAGAGGTGGGAGGGAAAGGGAGAGAGAAGGGAAATTGCATGGAAATGGAAGGAGACCCTCAGGGTTATACAGTGGAGGGGGTAGAGAGAGAGGAGGGGAGGGGAGGGGAGAGGTGGGGAGAGGGGATGATGGAGGATGGGAAAGGCAGCGGAGCACAACAGACACTAGTATGGCAATATGTAAATCAACGGATGTGTAACTGATGTGATTCTGCAATCTGTGTATGGGGTGAAGGTGGGAGTTCATAACCCACTTGAATCAAAGTGTGGAATATGATATGTCAAGAAATTTGTAATGTTTTGAACAACCAACAATAAAAAATTAAAAAAATAAAAAATAAAAAAAATAAAAGATCCCTATTGATCCTACAGTAGAACCAGGCTTGTATATAGAGCTTCTTCTTTCGTACTTTGCCATTTTCTCTGCCTGAAAGATCCAGCTCAACCTTTCCACTGCTGACTCACATCTTTTAAGTCTCCCCTCCACATTCTAGTTATCATTACAACATTTTAGATCTCATTGATAGTATTAGCTTCATGTAAGTTTATCTTGTTTAGTTATCAAGCTGTTTAATGGGTCTTCCACAACAGAACATGGGTTCTATGAGGTAGGAATATTGTCTGCCTTGTTTACCACTCTATCCTGAGATCCTAACAAAGTGTTTGTCACACAGTAAGCATCTAATACGTATTTCCTGGAAGGAAGGGAGGCAGGGAGGGAGGGAGGCAGGGAGATAGGTAAACGAATGATGAGTTTCAACATGCTGGAGCATCTAAGCTTAGTTTAGGTTTCCTTCAGAATATTATAGGTTCTGAAACTTGCAGTTAGAATATATTCAGAGATGCTGAGTACAGAACAGGTAAACTGGGACACTGTGAGCTGTGGACAACTTAGACTTTACCACCTTGTTTGATTCATGGTTCTAACCATTTATTTTCTAGCAATCTCCAGGAACATTATTAACTGATCTCTTTAACCCAATTAGCTCAACCATGACAAAGGGTAAAGAAATATCTACCACTCATGTTTACTATGAGGATTAACACAGGCATTTTGTGTGTTTGTGTGTGTGTGTGTGTGTGTGTGTGTACATAAATACACTCTCACAGACACAGAAAATGTCAGTTCCTTTTTTCTAACTGACTTTCTATTGGGTTGATTTAATTAGGGCATGTGGTCACATTTGAAACAGTGTTTACGGAGAATTGGGCCAGCCCATCACCTTGGAGTTTATCCTTACCACCACCACCAAGACTTAGAAACTTGTTTAAATCACACAATTTAGGATACTCTGTCATTATAAGTTTAGAAAGAATTTAGAGTTTTAACAGAAGTCCATATTGAGAAATTATGAAAATATGATTGCACATTAAGGCCAGACTGGCCCTTGAAGATCAGCTCTTCTAATATTGCATTATAAAAATAAAGAATTCAGGTCATCACTAAGTTCACATAATTAGTGAGGTGGCAGGACTAAAACACATGCACTCTGATCCACAGGTCATTCTTTTATCCACTATATGCTACTTTTCCCCAATACTGAATAAAAAAAATTGAAGCAACAAGTATTTAATTCTGAAATCTCTATTACATAATGTCAAAGTGTCGATGTATCCTCAGTATAATCAATATGGTGCAGCATAATATTCAAGAAATCACCTAAAAACAAAACAGTACAACAGATTAAACTAAATCTCACCATACTTAATAGGGCTGTAACACAAGAATGGCTTATTATTAAAACCCTGTTCTGATACTGAACAAAGGAAACAACTAGATAATGGATGGATAATAATGGAAATTTTAATTAGCTGCTCTGTATGAGATTAATGAAAATTACCACTGTGCCCATTTGATCTTTAAAAAATAATGCAACAAAGTTAGCAATTAGTGTACATCATGCTATTCCAAAGCTAGGTGAACAAAAAGCTTTCCTAATTTGAAGTCATTCCTTAATTTGAAAATCATTAGGATATAGATAGTTGTCAGTATGACTGTGCTTGTGTTATTGTAAAACAGTACACAAAAAACTTAAAGGTACTTTCAGTGTGTTTAATAATCACACATTCCCCTTAGTCTGATATAAAATGTTAATTTCCAAAACAAACAAGCAATATTGTAAAAAGATCAGTTTAACTTTTCAGAAGAGATAACTACTTCTGAGTTTAGATACTTAATCTAATCATTATATTTCATTCTTTAATATAAATTCAGAATTATTTACAACTTGAGAAAAAGTTTCAGAGTTCTTAGCTATAAAAATATCTTGCCATGGACACTGAATGGAACTATTGACTGTACACAAGTCTTTTCAGCTACAGTGTGCACAGAGATAGCAATTACTATTGGTGGTATCATATTCAAACAGAAAAACAATATTGTTGTAAAAACAATAATATTATTGTTATTATGTTTTAGAAACCCTAATGCAGTCAAGTTTCAAGCTTTACTTTCATCAAGTGAGTTTCTTATCAGTGTAGTTCTTGGAATACCCAATTTATTGATTAACAAATTTGAAATTATATCTACAAAGATTGACAGTATACTTCATTAAGAGACTCCTATAACTTTAAAAACATGAGAAATTGAAAAATTGTTTTCCTCATCATCAGTTCTTTGAGTCAAGGATAGAAAGAGAACACAAAATAAGTGTTCTTATTTATTCTGATAATGATGTATTTGGTGAGTGACATCACTCTGAATATATTACCAAACTTTTAGATGGCTTCTACATATATAAGAAAAACAACTCTTAAAGGAAGAGCATTATCTTTTATTAAAAAATACAAAAAGCATCTTAACTTTACTGTAATATGTCAAATATTTTCATTTGCAATTTTCATTGAAAAGTATTTTAATTACATGAAAGATAAAGGGTAAAAGTTACTATTTATTATCAATTT